AGAAGCTGGTGTGTGTTTTGCAGTAGCGTTAGAGATCACCAGCTCCTGCGTGCCCTTTGTGAAGTGGTGACCGTGTGTTGCAAGAGGCTGGTGGACTGGCTTCTGATGATTTCGCCTCAGAAATTATAGCCTCGTTTCTGTTTAAGAACAAGCAAGAAAAATTGTAGCTGTAGAGGAGTTCCCTTTTTCAAGTCTTGCTCTGTGTTGGCACAGTAGCTAGTGGGATATTCCGTGGGGAGATAATAGGCTCGTCTGATGTTCCCCCTGTACTCTCAGCAGTGAGATTTCAATGGATATGTCCAAAGAATAAATTACTAATCTCTGTCTGGAAGAGAAAATGTGTAAAAATGCACAGGCACAGTCTGTAGAAGTTGAGCTGGAAAACATGGGCTCTTTGTACTCATGTATGTGATTACCAGTGGTGTTTGTGGGTGTTAAATGTTAAAACCAGTGGTCTCAAAACCATGGGAGTGACTTTTGAAAACCTGCAATGACAATGTTTTACTTTAAAGCAAAACCGTAATTGAAGATGACAGGGTGTAAGGTTGTGACCCGTGACCAGGTCTGTCCTAAAGTCTGTCATTCTGGAGCCAACGCGCCGTGTTCTGGCAGCTGGAGCCGTAACCTGCTGAATGTCTTGCCGAGAGCTTTGCTGAGAGATGTGTAACTTGTGAGTGGGAAAAGAAAGAGCTGCTTCTTCCATCTCTGGGAGCACAATTCACTAAATTGCACTTAGTAGTGGGTTTTGTCTTTAGAGACTTGCAAAGACTTTTTTTTTGCTTCATAAAACAGTTGTAATAGGAGAAAATACCTGTAATATGTAATTTTACCCTCATATGAAGGTAAAAGGTTTTTTGTTTGTCATGGTGTTTGGTTGGTTGGTTGTTTTTTTTTTAATTCTTGTCCTGTAGTTTTTGTAAATGGTTTCTGATTTAGGAATGTGAAGGGCTACATTTGGTGGGTTTTTTTCACCTGAGCTAGGTTTGATCCTTCCTGAGGGACAGTGGGAATTCTGCCCCCACCCCTGTCAAGTCCCAGAAATTCATTGCTCACTTCTTGTCCTCTCTTGTCCCTCTCCAGCCCAGCTGAGCGATTAAGCAGAAGAATGGTACGTGTAGACTTGGCAAAACAGGGCGGGGTAATGATCACCTGCACAGAGCTGAAGGCCTTTAATTATTGCAGCCCGACTGAGTAGGTGCTCACATTGCAGCAGGAGTTGAGGGAGAAGACAGCTGATAACTCAGCGTGTTTGATTTCTCTCTGCTGCCTTGTGCTAATGGTGTGGATTTGCATAACCATTTTGGATAATAGATAGTTTTATGGAGGAGGGGGGGAAAAAGAAGCGGAAAAATTATAACTCCTGGTCATGGGTATGTTGCAAAGAATCTCGGTAGCACCTTGAGATAATTCATGCAGCCGTCTTTCCTAAGATGCTGATTATTATGTTCTCTAAAGTCTTTGAAATCGTTCTTTCAGGAAGCAGAAGAAGATAATATTCGTAGGAGAGTTGATCTAGGAAGGTGCCGACTTCTCCCTCCATAACGTTCAAATGCTTACTGATCTCCAAAGTGTCCCTCTTGATGTCTTTTTTTTTTTCCCCTCCCCTGAATTTTATGTTCTGGGGGTTTTTTTTGCTACAAATAAAGTTAAAAAAACAGTCCTCCTGCTAGTTTTATCTCTTGACCTGTAACAATTCTGTGGTGATTGTTGTTAAACTGCTGCCTTTAGTAATGCTAGTTGTTTTCCTTCCTAGTTACTTCTGAACTCAAGTTTCACCATCAAAGCATTTCTTGGAACGGTCACTTGTCGCACCACCTCTCCTGTGGCTTCCTTAAAGAGCAGCTGTTCCTTTTGGAACCAAAACTGAGACACGTCGGCTTAACCACAGAAACTCATGCTTAACTGTTGAATATTTTTATGATCTGTACTTCTTGTGCCCGGCGTTGACGGCCTGTGTACGGCACCGTGTTGGTCAGCACCGTGTTGGTCAGCCCTGCTGTAGGCAGCCCTGGTTCTGATACTTGAATTAAGAGCTGATTTCTTCTTGCTGAGGCTCAGCAGTATTCCCGAAACTGATGGAAATTGTGGTTGTGCACTCGGGATTCACAGATGTGGGCTGTGTGTGTACACCAGCTCTACCTGTGATTTTTTTTTCATGGCAGGATGGGGTGAGCTTTTAATGCTTCTATTCCCCTTTTTCTTAAGCTGCCTTGGTGATACTTGTCTGGATTTTAAGGTGTGATAAGGAGTATCTGTGGAACAGAGATGCGAGGTGCTAGTTCTCAGAGTACAAAGAAAAAGTAGGTTCTTGCCCCTGGGTGTGTTTGGGATACTTTGTGAGGGATGCAGATGGTTTAAGCCACCCAATCTTAGCAGCAGGGAGTGTCTGTACTATTTTCAAACGTTTCTGTTGATAAATGCAAACAAACGATGTTTTTTTCTTGTTTTAAAAACAAACAGAAAGCCTCCTGGTTTAGCATCACCGGGGCTTACGATTTCAGCGGTTGCTCAGGCACCTGTGAACAAAGGCTTCTCGCCAGCCCCACTACACTCCAGTGTTAAAAAGAAATGCAGATATTTATGCTGGAAGCAAAGCGATGAAATGGCAAATCTTCTCTTTGTACCCGGGGGCAGGAGGGTGCACCCAAATTCCTCGGCTTCTTTTCACCTGTGTGGTGGGTGCTCCCTCTCCCCACGTTACCAGTGCTGTTCTCTTGCTGGGCAGGAAGGTGTTCTCAGTTATACTTTAAAGCTTTGCGTTTCATACAAAAATACTGTATTTTGGCAGATGTGGTTCTCGTGCAGCAAGATTCCACAGCGAGAGCTGGTGGTTAGTGGTGGAGTTCTTTGTGGGCTGTTGAGAGGTAGCAGAGGCATTGTCTGTTAAAATGCTTCTCCATTTCCAGGGCATGTTTGAATGTTCAAATAATCTAAGTATTCCACTGAGTAATCTCTTTGATACATGTATGCCTTGTTATTCTATGCAATTGTTAATAAAGCGGTTAGAGAAACAGGAAGCAAGAGTAGGTATCCACAGGATTTTTCTTTTAAAATGGCAACTTTCTCTTTTTTCACTTACTCCTTCACCCTATTCCTGTTATGATTGCACACATTCCTGCCCCTTTAGATGTGCTAGGGTGAAAAATGGATACTAGGTCCTTGTGATGTCCCGTCCCACCCCAAGCACCCGATTTCACATTCTTCCTTCTGGAGTCTGGCTCTCAGGATGTGTAACAGGAATATTTTTGTGCTCTTACGCATTTTGGGTAACTTATCAGATCCATTACAGGAGGTACTCCCAGCTGCTCCCAGGCTTTAATGTGTTCCTTGGCTTTTGTTCAGCAGTTAATATGCCGAAGGATTAGTAAGAAGCTACTGTTATACAAAGCAGGGCTCAAACATTCTCGCCCCAATCTTACTGAGCATCAGAACCACGCAGAAGTTCCGATGAGGAACCGCCGAGCCGCGTTGAAAACAAGCGTGTGGTTTGGAAAAAGAGCAGGTAGCTGAGTTTTGCGTCGGTTGCAGTAACAACAGAAGAGGTGCTGATGGTCTGTGAGGGAAGGACAGGACTTAATGCTACCTCAGAGGGAAGTGCTGATTTCGGTGGGGTTTCTGTTACGTGAAGGGTGAGCACGCTCTTCAGCACACATGGGGAAAGTGGGTTGGTAGGAACACGTTTTGAAAGAATTGTCGTTAAAAGCAGGTGAGGTCAGTATTAGAGTGTCCTGGTTTGCAGCGAGAACGGCAGCATCGGTTTCACGGTTTCGGTTGGTTGTTATTTTTAATTTTGCCTTTCTGGAATCACAACCACTGTGCTTTCTTTTTCCGCTCAAAGAAATTAGAAGCCTCTAGATGCACTGATGTAATGTTCTTGAAATCTGTCCCTGTGGATCTGGGAGCCACTCTGGTGTGAAGATGAGTCAGTTCAAGGCCAGTGTGTGCATGCGCTGTCTTTTCAGGATTTGGGCTTGATTTCCTTGGGAATTAATTGATGTACAATTTAAAACTGTAGTAAGAAATTGAAAGCAGCATTTATATATGAGGAAAATCTCCTGTGTGCTGGTTATTTAGGTTTGGGAAATCAAGTTGTGAATGTAATACTTGTTCAGCACTTTGAGCAGGAACCCAGGTTAGGGCTCCAGCAGCCAGATCTCTTGGCTTCAGCTTGAAACAAGGTGCAGAAACTGCTACTTCCGTCTCAGTTTAAGGTCGAATATATGAAAACAACTGCCGACAGTTGCTTGTTTAGTCTGACAGAGTGTGTAAATGATCATTACTAGATTAAGAAGAGTCTCTCCTCCATTGTGACGTTAGTTACAAGTGAGAAACGTGCTGCCTTACAGCCTTCCCTTCTGCAGAAACACTGGCTGCTCTTTGCAGATTTGCATTCTTAGTTCATGATACTAATTGTTACCCCCAGACTTCTCACGAAGAGTGGGTGGCCGTAGCCATCTGTTGCAGAATTAAGGGTCCTGGAGCATCCTTGCTTTGCTCTAAATCTCCGTAGGCCTGAGTCGAGGACTGAGCTCTCAGAATTAAACATGAGAGAGATGTTTTGTACTGTGAAAGTATAAATCTGCTGATGGGCTGGTGCCCTTGGGGGGCTCGTTTGGGGTGACCGGACTGTAATGTTAGATCTTTGAAACTGGCTGTTTAAAGAAGTTTAAGAGCATCATAATAAATTAGAGCTTAAATGCAGCTATTAGTTGAACAGCATTGAGGAAGGAAGGACAGAATCCTTCCTTTTGTTATTCTTCCCAGCCAGGACCTTGAATGTCAAAGTAGAAACCAAACACAGTCAGTATTGTTACAGGGAATCAAACTGTAGTTTCTTTAATAAAATATGCTTTGTGCACTGGCCTCGGTTATTTACGCTATTAAGAAGCCAGTAAATCACAGCCCAGTTGTGTCTGGAGAATCTTTCGTGCACAGTGCAGTGATTTATGCAGGAAGCTTATTTCTGTCGTCTGATCTTCGATATTTATTATTTTCTGCAGTGTGTACCTGGGAGCTTGGAGGATCCGAAAACTATGACACATCATAAGTTGATACACGCTACTTCTGAGAAGGTGCTGACAGACACAAAAACAGTGTTGGAGGAAAACATTCAGGACAGAGGTAAGATCTGCTGGTTTGTTTTGTTTTTTGGGTGTTTTTAAATCCTGTCAGACTGGAATCATGAAATGGTGTTTAACTGTTTGGCGAGTTCCAAACAGCAAACTCTTAATATCTACTCTCTGCTTTGACATAGGAAGCTAAGAAGCTAGCAAAAAAGGAAGAGAAGGCACCTTAAGCAAGATGCTTTTCTTAATCCTTCATTTTTAGAGTTGAAAAGGAGTTAGGAGTGTTTAAGTCAAGAAGTCAAATATATTATTTTTATCTCTTATGAAAGGATTTTTTTAAAACCTCCAGAGCAACATTATAATGGCCTAGTGTTTCAAAACAGACAACTTGGTGCTTCTGGGGGTACTTCTGAGGTCTCCAGGTCGGGCAGAGGAATTGCTGAAGTGTATCTTGGTGTCTGCAGTTTAGATCTTGTTCCATCCTCTGCAAACTTAGGTCAGAATCCATCCCACTATAGTGTCACTGACTACAGTTGAATATTAAGGTGTGTAGTTGCTCCTGAGCTTTAAAGAGGTGTAAAGGATCGATGTGAAACAAATTAAGATCTAAAGATGAGAGCTGGAGTTGGTTTTTACTGGACAGCTGAAGCTGATGGCCTCTTCTGGTGGTGCGGGAAGTGAGAGAAGCAGGACTGCTGTAGACTGAAATATTGTCCGAACCAGAAACTCGGCAGGAGCAGACTTCCTGCTCGTTTTGCCAGAAATCCTGCAGGCTGGAGAGCTGCTGCTGCGAACATGAGCAGCTTGGTCTGTCTTCCCCTACAATGTCACCCACTGCCTTCAGAGCTGAACAGGAGCCAAGAAATCCCATCTTGGGCAAAGGCAAGGGGCAGCATTTTTGCTGATCGCTGGTGTATGATTTCTGGCTCCCAGAGAGTTTTGAATTGCAGTTTGCAGCGGCTGAAGCAGCATGAACTGCGTAGTCACAGTAAGCTGTCACGCCCCTTTTGCCCCTGCGACACGCTCTGCCTTTCGTGTGAGTGCCTTGGCAGGGAGGCGAGATCGCAGCCGACAGCTGATCACCAGCCGACTGTGCAGCGCAGCCAGGAGTCAGCATGTGGCTTCCGAGCAGCTGGACAAACGAGGGTTAACAGCCTCCACCAGCTGTTGCTCTTGTGCTGTGCTAAGGAAACGTGTTGTGCGAAGCACGCTTTGTTTGCTTTTTGCCCACTTAATGTGACGGAATAAAACCTGTGTGGGGCTGCAGATGCTGTGCACGCCCCCTTTGGGCTTTAACTTGTGCGTCTTTCTGCCCTTAGAATGTGTGTGGTAATAACTGAGGGGCTGGAAATTTTGTAAAGCGTTGTGTGATCTCTAGGAGAGGGTGCTTTGTAAGTATTAATGTTGAAAGCTCAAAGCAAGTTGGTGCCAGGTCGCATGGGATGTCTGTGACTGGGGACTTGCTCACCTTCGAGATTTGCCCTTGCGGGCTCCCAGTGCTGAATCCCTGCTGTAGGCTGTGAATTGTTCCACTGCCATTCCCACACAGAGGCGAGGTTCAGCGTGATGCTGGAAGTTCTTCTTGAAGCTTAGCACTTGCCTTGCTGCAATTGTAAGGCTCCAGCTTGGACCAAAAACCATCCGTGGCCTCTCTCTGCTCTTCCTTCTCAGTGGAAGCACTGGAAGTACTGGTATTTTCTTATAATCATGAGCCAGTTGCTGTACAAAACAACTGGAGCCTCTAATACCCTTTCTTTAGTGGTGGTCTGTGGAGAGAAGAAACCAGTAGCCGTCAAAGCATAACTAATACTGGACCACGTTTTCAGTTCACTGTGCACTAAGCAATTGCAAACACTGAAGGGGAGTGTGTAAATCCACACAGGTTTTAAGGTATGAAAAAGGTCTGCTGGATACAGTGGAATTAAAACAAAAACTCACCTCCAGGAAAAATTGCATTTGTGAAGTATCTTACAAGAACTCTTTTCGCATTACTTTCTAACGTATTTCGGTGCTGTTCTCTTTCCAGATGTCTTACTTTTGATAAAGAAGCGTGCGCCACCTCCGCTCCCCAAAATGACAGATGTGTCAGCAGAGGAGAAAGTGAGTTTGAAAGACTTCTTCACTTGGCTATTTTGTTTAACTGCTTTGTAAATGAGCTGCCTAAGAATTACTGTGGTGTGGTCTTTGAGTTTGTAGAGGCAAATGCTGCTGGTTAAATGCTGGGGAAATGATACCATATTTCTTTGAGACTTTGAGGAAGCTGACTCTTCATTTTGTAACTTTGATTGTGAGAACATTTGCCGTAGAACAGGACACGCAGATACCCTGTGGAAGTGGTCTAGGTTCGAGCAAAGGTCTAATAACTGTATAAGCATAGTTCAGCAAGTGCCTTGCTTTGTCTCTCTTTGAAAACCCTGTAAAGATCTGTTGATGGGCTGTCAGGCTCCTTCAGTCTTTGTCTGTGTGTTGCTTGTCACCCTCTAATTGGGTCTCTAGAGCTCAGGTGTCGGCCCCTTTAACTCTGTCATTTTATTTGAGTTGAATGCAGTTGTTACCGAGGCTCAGTGATGCCCAGAATGGTGCTCATGCTCGAGCGGTGCTGCGGTTGGTGTTACTGCATAAACACTCTGAGCGATGCTTGTGCTTGATGCTGTGGATTTCGAGGTCTCTCTGCTTCGTCCTTGCACAGCCTTGTTTCTTCTTGCCCTCTGTAGGTGTCGGTGCATGTCTCTCTCTCCCTTTCTGTAGGTACTGGTGTGTGTCTGTCTTCAGTGTGGTCTTGCTGTGCAGAATGTCACTGTAAGAGCATCAGTGATAAGACTGGCAAATATTGGTAGTTTGTCCCCTGCTGTGTTTTGTCCTGGACTCTAAGCATGAACTGAACACCCAAGGCACCGTACAGCTCTGCGTGACGCTTGCAAGCGGCAAAGCGCTGCTGGGGTGAAGCAGTTCAGTGCTGGCCTGGGCACAGCCCTGGCAAATCTCTCGACAAACCGTAGGTTTGAACAGAGCATGCTGTGAGCAGGGTATGGTCCTGGGCACCGAGGCCTCTTGTGTTCTCTCCGTGGTCGATACATCGCCTCCCCTCTTTAGGCTGGAATTTCCTGGCATGTTTAGAGAACAGAAATAGGTATAAGGTATAGGGGCTGAAAGTGGGGCAGCCCAACAGGTCTGGGTTTGCTCCGTAAGCACTAAACGGGAGCGGTGCTGTTGCCAGACTGCTCTTTCTCTCAGCTGCAAGTGACAGAGCACTGCTTGAGGCCTTGGTGAAGAAAGTGAAACTGCTCTCTGCTGTGCTGTGTTCTCTGTTCTGTGCATAATGGGTTATGAAACCTGATCGTGTTTCCTGTCCTTCAGAGGAAACAAGAGCAGAAGGCTCCCGATAAGGATGCTATTCTCAAAGCAACTGCAAATCTGCCCTCTCGCAATGTAGATCGCACCGTGGCCCATCACAACATGAGGGATGTAAGTATTAGACTTGACTTTTAACTTGCACACTGACATTCCAATAGTTTTGTGGGTTTGTTTTTTTTTACTTACGTAACCTTTTCTCCTACGTGTGAATGTGATTCTTCTTTTTCTCTGTAAGAGAAATTCCAGTGTGTATAATCTATATTAAAGTAGATAACTTAAGGTTTAGATGCAAGTCGTACTCTTTATTGATAATAAAGCACTCTGTTCTAAATTACGAATTTAAATATCATATTTATCCCTGGGAAAGCCTCAGTAAACATGTTCAAGATCTGGCAAATGTGAAGTTAGGGGGGTTTATTTAGGCTTAAATAGTTCAGGTGTTTGCAGTGGGTTTTTTGCGGGGAGAGTGTGTTTTCTCCTCTTCCATGGTTTTGAAAAGAGAGATTAAGCATAAATTTTGACTTCAGTAACTGAACACTGCTAGAGTCTGTAACGCTTCTAACTGTGTCTTCAGCAGTACTGGGACTATTTTTTACCCTCCTGTACTGGTAGCAGTAGGAAGCAGCGAATCTGCCCGCGTTACTGCGCGCTGTCAGCGTGCCTTCCTAACCTAAAAGGGACAATCAGCAGTTAAGCTGTTTAATGTCCAGCGTGACCTACTGAGCACAGCATGTTTAAAACCACCCATGCAACCAAAAAGAATTTACCATGATTCCCTTCAGAAAGTAGCTTCGATCTCTGTTTTTCAGATTTAGGCTACTAGCAAGCAAGTAGTAGCTCAGCAAGGCCTGATGGTTCACAGAAGCAAGTAGCTGCTGTGACTGTTTGCTTTTTTTCCTTCTGAAAAAGAAGCTTCTGCCCAGAAGTTTTTACTTCGCAGGAAATCCCTAATAAAGCAACTTTCGATCTGGGGGTGGGGCAGACTACTGCTGGGATACTAACGACAGATATATTAAAATTCAGTGATGTCTGGTAACTTCTCGTCTAAATGTTTTGACAGTTTCCTTTCTTGCAGTTCCAGACAGAGCTCCGGAAGATTTTAGTGTCTCTCATAGAAGTTGCACAGAAATTGTTAGCGCTGAACCCGGATGCGGTTGAACTCTTTAAGAAGGCGAATGGTACGAACAGATCTTTTTATAGTTACTAGTTCAATCCTGGGAACTTGTTTGCTTCCATAGCAGAAGCCCAGACCTTGATGTGATAGCAAAGCTACTGTGAACTTTGTGGCAGAGATTTCACCTGGTGGAAATAGATTGTATGACGCTTGTGAGTGTATAAGGTCCTTTTGGGGATGGATGAGAAGCACCATTTAAAAAAGCAGTTGTTAGTAGTGAAAAACTTGGAAAACTGAGTTGTGTTTTAGGGCTGGTTTAAAAAATAGTTGAAATGCGTGGGAAGACAGTAAAATGCGGAGAAAATGTAACTGGTGATTTAGTTTGTGGGAAATGCTTGCCCTTGAGATCTGCGGCGGCCAGATCCAACTTACTTTCTAGATAAATGATAAACAGATCGTCAATGAATCTGCTATATATTTACTTCTGTGGAAATACCATGGTCATGTTGAGAGTTAGCTGTCTTTTGAGATCTTGAGCGCATCTGGACAAAGTCTTTGTCCTGGAAGAATCTCTCTGAGCCAGACCAAGCTGAGTGCAGCAAATTAACTGATGAGGTAGCAAGTTCGGGGCAGAGACAAAAGAGGGGATGGAAAAGAAGAATAATAGGGTTTAAACTTAACACATGCCATTCCGTTGAGACAGGGGGTTACTGTGGCTTGAAGTCAATCCGAATGTTGTTTTGTTTGTGTCTGTGTAGCCATGCTGGATGAGGATGAGGAAGACCGAGTGGATGAGATAGCTCTGCGACAGCTCACAGAAATGGGGTTTCCAGAGAGCAGAGCTGTCAAAGCCCTCCGATTAAATCAGTAAGTGTACTCAGCACACTGCCTCCAAGTTACTTGATATGGTTAAAAAAACATAGTTGGGTTTTTTCGTAAAGCCTCCTTATGTGGGTCACCTAAAACTGGGTTGGAAGAAGCCGTAACTCAAAGAGCAGCGCTGTCTCGGGCAGTGTGCAGGTGGGATAGGGAAGGGGAAAAGGTGCTGGACTGGTAAGTAGAGCTGCTTCACAGTTCCCAGGGCTGCCAGGCTCACCCTCTTTCCAAGTATTGAACTCACATTTTCTTCTGCTTTAGAATTCAGACCTTACATAGAAAAAAGCAAACCTAGCCCATCCGCATTGGTATTTCAGCTGTAGAAAAATACTTTGTGCTGATCTTTTAAAAACATTCCAAGAATATCATGAAGTCCAGATAGGAACTGCAGGAAAATAGGAGGTAATGTAGTTCTTCTCATGCCCTAAGAAGAAATCAACTGCACTGCCTCGCTCCTGAGAGCGGTTTGCGAAGCCATTCTTGAAAATTTCTATGTGTGTCCATGTGATGTTTTTCACACTCATGTTGTTAATGACATTCCTTGATCGCTGGATGGATATCTGAGGGAGATCTCTTTAAGAAGCAGCAAAGCAGCACCTGAGATGTGGTTCCACCTGAATTTGGAGCATTCTTTCTTTGCAGTTTTATCAGCAGTTGCACATATGCTTTTCTGTTGTGAAAGAAGTAGGTGATGGGGAGAGTAAGGTGACTGCCACAGAAATGACTTTTAAAATCTGGCCTGCGGCCATCTGATTTGGGCTTTATTCTTCTGTCTTCCTGGCGTCAGAGAAGACTGTGGTGCTTTGAATGCACAGAGAGTTAAGGTGATCTGAGATTTGCTCCAAAACATTGTTTATAACTTTTCGGATAGCAATTCACCTGTAAGTCAGTGTATCGGAGGAGTAAATGCAAAGGCAAATGGATGTGGAACGCTACCGAGTTTCTCATCCCTGTGTTTCGATTTGCTTTTTAGCATGTCGGTGACCCAGGCCATGGAGTGGTTGATAGAACACGCAGATGACCCTGCAGTGGATGCTCCCCTCCCAGGTCAGACTCCATCAGAAGCCACAGCTGAAGCTGGTGCGTCCTCCGCTGAAGCGACTGCGGGTCCTAGTTCAGAATCGGGTGGGGAAGAGGCCAAGGATGAGCTGACAGAAATATTCAAGAAGATCCGGAGGAAAAGAGAGTTTCGTCCAGACCCACGAGTATGTGCTGCTTGTCTCACTCTGTAACTGTTGGGATCGGGAGGGGCTGTGTGGCCACCGTGGAATCCAAATGAATGTTCAGTTAATAAATGAAATGGGACATCTGGGCAGATGTACGTTATGCTGGCTTGACAGTATTTTAGCGGAAGTCTTCAGGCACCGTGTAAATTCAAGTTGCTGAAAGGGGTGTTACCTGATTACTGTGGTGCTGTTTCAGATAGCAGGGGCTAAATTACTGACCCTGTTACTCCTGCACTTGAAAATTGACTGAAGGGACTGAAAGGAGCTGCCAGACTCCTGGCATTGCTTCTCCTGACTGCTGTCCAGGAAGGAAGGGTTGTGGGACAGGAGTGGGTCCTTTTACTGTAGAAAAGGGCAAAAGAGAATTATTGTATTTAGGGGGCAAGGAAAAGTATCACCAGCAGATTTAAATCTTGCAACAAATGTGGAAGTTTGCCTTTTTTTTCTCTTTTTTTTTGCTCCAGAGCACTGCATTAGTTGAAGTGAAAATCTGTGGTGTTATCACCCTGTAAGCTCACCAGGAGGTGCTCTTTAGAATCCAGCACTTTGTTTTTACAAGTGACTGTTACCTTGAGATTCTGGTTAAAAGCTCAATGTATTTGAGCATTTGTATTTGATGACCTGGGTACAATTTCTAAGCGACTAAGCATTCTTGTAACAATATCTAGGTACGCTTGTCTAAACACATAACGCTCAGTAGCGATGCAATAAATCCAGGAAGTGAAGTTAAGTTGAGTGAATAGAACTACCAATGCATGTGAAGCTCGACCTGGCAGTGAGATGTGAACAAAAGCTTTGTGACCTGAGAGAAGTTCTAAACTCAGGTGTTTCTGTCCTGCTCTTCACGTTTCTACCTCGGGTACACGTGCTCTTTGCCTTGATTCAGCTTTCAGTATTGAGGATAGGAGCCACCTTCACTCTTAAGATGTAGTCCTCTTCCCTAATAAAGATATTTTCGATAGAAGTTATTTGAAGCCTTTGCAGATAAGATTGTTGGTGGTCTACAAATGAAAACAATGGGGTGTTTTACCCCACAAAAAGCTCCAGCGTGGGAGGTGAAAGGATACGATTGTTCTCATTTGTTTGAAACGTGATGTTTTATTAAGCTGTGCAAATCTGATACAGGCTGTCATTGCCCTGATGGAGATGGGATTTGATGAAAAAGAAGTGGTAGATGCACTCAGAGTAAACAACAACCAGCAAAACGCGGCCGTGAGTACAATGTTGGTTTTGTTCTTTATTGCTGCGATAGTCTGTTCAGCTGATTCGTTTCATTGTTGAATTGGTTGATGGTTTGATCTGTCATAAAGCCCAACTGTTAGTGGGGATTAAATGAGCACTACCCTGTGCTGCTTTCAGATTTGATACACAGCTAGAATACAAAGGTTTTACGCTTCTTAGAGGAACTCAACGTGCACGGGGATAGAATATGTGGATTTTGGAAAAAGCTCCTGAGAAACTCCCTCACCAGACTCTGCAAATGAGATTATGCTATCATGAGGAAGGAAAAGGTGTTCCCAGTAACTAATAACTGATTCAAGGACAGGAATAAATGATCAAGGGGTTGAAGCTATGCAGTGTGTAGATTAGTATTCTGCACCAATGCAGCCCACAGTTTATGGGATTAAAAAATACGTAGGTTTTCAAAGATTCATTAGTCCCCTGCTAGTGGATGATATGTCAAGGAAAATTATGTGGACACAGCTGACAGGCAAGGAATCTTTTCAAGCATCCAGTGCTGGCTACTGTTAGAGAGAGGATTTTGGACAGGATGATACTTCAGGCTGCTGCACTGTAACTGTGTCCCTGGGTTCCTCGGAAACATCCAAAGCTGCATAACTTTATGACCATACCAGGTACTGCTGCTGAATAAAAGTTGTTTTCTGTGGGAGCAACACCAAAATGAAGAGTAATCTAGCATGAAAAGAAACGTATGGCTCGATCTTTGACTGTGAGAGGAAAAAAAAAGTGTTTTTAACATGCTGTGTAGCCAAAACTTTTGAGACACTTTGATTCTAGTACAACTAATCATGAAATCTATTGTGCTTGGTGATTTCTTTCAGTGCGAATGGCTGCTGGGAGACAGAAAGCCTTCTCCAGAGGACTTAGATAAGGGCATTGACACCAATAGCCCTCTCTTCCAAGCCATCTTAGAAAACCCAGTGGTACAATTAGGGCTAACCAACCCTAAAACTCTACTAGGTAAGTCTTGCTTGGGTTCCTGATACAGATATGCTGTCTCTGTAGTTGCTAGAGTAGAGGCTGGATGGTGACAGCACGCTCTGTGGGATAGATGCAGCTCTGTACCCTCTGCCTCGCTTTCAGCAGCTGTATTGTTTGTTTGCTTTATCCTGCAACTCAGCGAAACCCAGAGCAGAACTTGGGGCTGTCCCAGAAATCATCCTGATTCCCCAGGCTACTGGATGACGCTTGCTGAACTCAGAACTTTAATAGCTGCAAGGCTTTTGTGGATTTAGGAGACCTTTTGTGCGCTCCCGTTGGCCACAAGGGGAGAAATTAGGAATGGCTGTCTAGACCTCTGATGATTTCACAGAAAAAAAACAGGGCTGTCTCCTGCTGGACGGG